TTAGGGGTCTATTTTAAAATATACACTTTGAAGATGATACTACTGTTGTTACTACAATAAATATGTGGTGAAAGAGGTTACGTGAATCTATCAGGTACAAGTCTTTATCTTTTTCCTTAGCTAGAGATGTTTTCCTTAACCAGAAACATGATTTTGGTCGTCATGTTCATGAATGCAAGGTTTAGATGGTTTCCATATATTCCCCAAAAATATGTGATATAAAATACAAAAATAATTTAATGTCTCTTGATCTAAGTACCAATTTAACAGAAAATATAAGAACTAGAACATGCTATATGGCATAACTATTCATAATGGAAAATCTACAGGACAAATTTCTTAGCTTTTCAATGAATGTAAGCAGTATTAAGGGAAATATGTGTAATTTTAGCTCAAAAGAGACTGAAGGGGCCAGCACTTTGGTGCGCTGGGTTAAGCAGCCACCTGCAGCACCGGCATCCATATGGGCACGGGTTTGAGTCCTGGCTGCTCCACTTCCGATCTGGCTGTCTGCTAATGGCCTGGGAAAACCACTGGAAGGTGGGCAAGTGCTTGGGTCCCTGCCATCCACATGGGAGACCCAGATGAAGCTCCTGGCTCCTGGCTTCAGCCTGGCCCATCCACTGTGAACCAGTGGATGGAAGATCTGTCTCTGTCTCTGTAACTCTGCCTTTCAAATAAATAAATCTTTTAAAAAAACACAGAGAGAGACTGAAGAGATCTGTACTGGACTATGGTCTTTTTACTTTTTATTTCTTGAGCTCTATTTGGTGGAACCAATAAGCTTTTGACAATAATGTAAATTAAAAATGTTATCTCAAAAATAAAATATTTCTGAATTAAAAGAGAGAAGGAGATCTATAGACCAGTTGCAGTGGTGTGTGGACCTTGTTTAGATACTAATCTGAACAAACCAGCTGTACAAAGATACTTTTGAGACAACTGGAAAAATTTGACCATTGATTGCATATTAGATGGTATAGTTAAATTCTTAATATAGGTAGGTATAATAAAGGTTTTGCAGTTTCAAGAAATAGTCCTTATCTTTTAATGATTCATACCAAAGTGGTATCTTTTATTTAAAATACGCTACCAAGAAGGAAAGAAAATTGGAGGTAGTAGATCAAACAAAAATAGCAAAATATTATTAGTTGTGGAAGCTGTGTAATGTAGGTTTGAAATTCTCTATAGTATAAAGTTAAAATAAAACATACACGTTGTGTTTTGTTTTGGCAAATAGCAGTACCCTGTCAATTAAATTCATGCATTAAGTTTGGAGGAAAGGCAGTGAGATTCCTGATACAGCTTTACCCAAACTACAACTCACTGCCTTCCCTCCTCTCACTTAATATACAAACTGCAGATGATAATGCATCCTTTGGAAACTGAATGAGAGAGACACCTCACCTTGGGAAGAGCAGAAGAACCCAGCACTAACAGCGCAGCTCAGGGTCTGTCTGTCTTCCGCAGCGTCTCCCTCCTGTGCCTTTGAGGCATTCTCCTGTTGTGGTATCAGTTATGTGGCCTTTCTTTGTTTATAGCCAGAACTTTTGACTTAATATATTGTTCTGTAAAAATGAATGCCTTTTGTGAATCAATAAGCCCTTTACAAACATCATTTTGTACAACAAATTCACCTGGGAACTTTGTCCCGAGACACTGATTTTATGGTCTAATTCTAGGAGAAAATAGAAGCAGATACTTTGGTCACAGTCGATAAAAAATGTATCCATGTCATACAGCAAAGAAAGTTTTCAAAATAAATGAACGTTGGCCGGCGCCGTGGCTCAATAGGCTAATCCTCCACCTTGCGGCGCCGGCACACCGGGTTCTAGTCCCAGTTGGGGCGCCGGATTCTGTCCCGGTTGCCCCTCTTCCAGGCCAGCTCTCTGCTATGGCCAGGGAGTGCAGTGGAGGATGGCCCAGGTGCTTGGGCCCTGCACCCCGTGGGAGACCAGGAAAAGCACCTGGATCCTGGCTCCTGCCATCGGATCAGCGCGGTGCGCCGGCTGCAGCGGCGGCCATTGGAGGGTGAACCAACGGCAAAAGGAAGACCTTTCTCTCTGTGTCTCTCTCTCTCACTGTCCACTCTGCCTGTCAAAAAAAAAATAAATAAATGAACGTTGATGTTGACAGCAGTTTCTTCAGTGCACCTGATCTTCTGAGTTGGTTTTCCTGTTGGTTGTGATGCTCTAGAAAGGAGCCTCACGAACTGACATTTCAGAACAGTGCCCTTTGTCTGAAATCACTGGACTCTCTCTGCCACAGTAGATTTAAGAATAAGCCAGATGTTCCGGGGATCCCACTCCATTGTAATTAAACTTAATAAGATACCATACATAAAAACAGTTGCATTTGAACATACTTGTGCAGTCTATGTTTATATCTGTATAATCAATTATATCTGCTAATTTTGAGTTCTGAGAGAGCCAAAGTCATTTCTGTGTAATTTTAATAGCCACTGTCACTATGATGATAGGAAAGTATGATGATATCTTGATAGGTGTAGCTTAATTAAACCCCATGTTGGGGCTGGTGTTTTGTCTTAGTGGGTAAAGCTGCAACCTTCGACGCTGGCATCCCATATGGGCACTGGTTTGAGTCCTGGCTGCTCCACTTCCAATCCAGCTCCTTGCTAACGGCCTGGGAAAAACCAATGGAAGATCTCTCTCTGTCTTCCTCTCTCTCTTTAACTCTACCTTTCAAATAAATAAATAAATTTTTTAAAAAACAAAACCAAACAAAGAGCTTGTCACATCGTTTAAACCCCGAACTTCAAACCTAGAACTTATGATGAAAAAGGCTTAAGTACAAAAACATGTAAGATTGGATTTTAGAAAGTGTTACCATCCAGAGAATTTTTTTTAATTATGAAGACTGTGTCATAAAATAGTCATAAAATTTGTATCCTATTGGTAAAAATAGTTGTCACTGTTTTTTGAGTACTCTTTTTCATGTGCTTCACTAAACATGATATTTACAGTCAGACAGTGTGGAAGTCAGTATGGCTAAGTTCATTTGTGGTTTTAGAGAAAATAACATTTCTGGAAGAACAGTGTTTGTTTCCTGGTCACAGTGGACCATCTGGAAGTACTGGAAAGAAAGCATGTTTCCTAAAACTTTTATGAAAACGACTCATCTTTGTGATAAAAACTGATAACCTCGCATCATAATAGCCATGCTCTTTGACCCTTTTCTAGAGTGGTCTTCATTTTAATTCTTAGCTTGTTTGCTTTTCGGGTTCGTCTGATACCTAATTAAGTTGTTGACAGGAAATGTAGCTTTCACAATTCAGAAGAGACATATTCTACTTTATAAAATTATGGTCCTGCATGTGAATTTTGAGAAGTCACTAAAGTGAACATTCTGTTCTTCACTTAAAACTATTAATCATTTCCATATCAGTCAGATATCTACAGCAGATATTCACTTGTTCTTGGTAATATGAATAGAATGGTAAAACTCAGAGAGTCCAATAAGGTTTAACCTGTGCTTGAACTTCTCCCACTGAATTTTCTCAAAGATTTATTTATTTATTTGAAAGGCAGAGTTACAGAGAAAGAGAAGGAGACAGAGAGAGAGAGAGAAAAATATTTTTTATCTGCTGGTTTACTCCCCAAATGGCCACAACAACTGGGGCTGGACCAGGCAGAAGCCAGGAGCTTCTTCTTGGTCTCCCACAGGGTTGCAGGAGCCCTGGGACTTGAGCAGTCTTCCACTGCTTTCCTAGGCACATAAGCAGAGAGCTGGATAGGAAATGGAGCAGCCAGGACTCGAACCAGCTCCCTTATGGGATGACAGTTGGTGCTGTACACCTGCTGGGCCACTGTGTCATAGTGCCGACCCCCCCCGCTTCAAATTTTTTTGCCACAACTGCTAGACAGATATGCTTACCTTTTGCTTTGCATGGTAATATGTAGATGAACATGCAAACAAGTGGTAAAAGATTAGTAAAGCAGTGAAAAGAAAAATAAAATAGACAAAGCATTTCATCAACAAACTACATTCCATTTCTGAATGCTTCTTTATCTTTTCCTCTTCCTTATGAATCTGCCTCCAGTAACTGTCTTATTCTTTCTTATAGTACAGATCCAGTGCTCAGAGTAGTTCATTTAAGCCAGGGTGATGACTTAGGCCAAAAACTTTAAGTAGCTGCCATGAGATGTTGTCATTAGTTTGCTACCTGCAGGAAAACAAAGTGAAATGAAAATATACAAATGAAGCAAGAATCTCTTCTACCTAATGTTTGAGACAAGGGGACAGGGCTTAAAAATAGGTTTTCTTAAAATTTATGTATTGTTAGTCCATATTAAGAGAACAAATGAAGCTTTCTTTTCGGTTTGGAATTTTATAAAAGTAGGAACAGCAGCTTGTGAAGAGTAAAAACAGACATTAATCATCAGTGTAAAACTGCATGTCACCACCTTGTACTCATAGCTCGAAATGCCAAAGTTTGAGTGTGTCCATAAGCAAGATTAGCTACAGTGCCCGGAGGTTACCATGGTGGTAGTGGTGGAGTATTTGATAAGAGCTACTATATGGCAATGTATTCGGTATTGATACTTGATAAAGAAGGGTGAGGAATTATGAATTGGCATCTAGGATAATAAAGTTGCTCATGTACCTTTAAAAGTAATCTCTTTTAAATAAACTCATACTGAGAGAATAACCATTAAAAGTTTAATTGTAGTTTTTTATCGTTTTGTTTCAATACTAAAAACTGTCGACCAGATAACATCTAAATGTACCTTTTTCAATGTGACAAAGTTACATAAGAAGAGAATCCCCTTGCACGTAAAGAAAAATGCAATTATTTTCTATTCTGAATCTCCAGACTGCTGTTTTAGAAAATCATATCTGATTATTTGCTCAGCAGAAGATTATTGAGTTGATTTAGCTGTGATTTTACTTAACAAAGCTTCAACTGCATTCCTACTGTGGAGTCCGCCAAAGGTAGAGAGATATAAACGATACATTCAAACTGTGATTTTTGTGAACAGGGCCATCGATGCACCCCTCGGAGCTAATAGCGGAGATGAGAAACAGTGGGTTTGCACTGAAACGAAATGTACTGGGGAGAAACTTGACCGCAAATGATCCATCACAGGTAATGATCTTTTTATCAGTAAGCTGAAAATGTCTATAAATCTAAATGTGATTGCTTGAGAATTGCTACTTAATGTTTTCCAATATGCATATATCCATAGGAAATATAGAGCAAAGAAAATGCCTAAAATGTGTTTTGATTTTGCCTCTTTATTATTTTAACCTAAATGAGAAATTGTTTATAAACCTATATTTTAATAAATGAAACTGCTCCTCTTGGATTTATGTGGATAAAATACCTAACTGAACTGGTGATCAGATAGTTGTTTTCTCCTTCCTGCTAACTTATGCCTGACATTAAATAGAACCAGTGGAAAGAAGGATATGAAAATAAACCCCCCAAAAATTATAGAAATGACTTTAAACTTCTTAATTCAACTGTCATAATCCAGAAAATGGTACATTGGAAAGGCTATATAAGTATTATCATATATTTGATATTGTACTGTTGAAATTATGAAGTTAAACTTGTGGATTCTTTGACCTTCCTATATCAGACTCATGATCTTAGATTTTATATTGCATTAAATCAGCAGTGAAATATTTGAGCAAACAAGTGTCTCATTTCAAGAGACAGTGATTGGAAGCCATGCTATAAATAAGGCTTTAACTGTGCTTCTCTATTGTCCTCTTTCTGATAAAATTTGCCAGTGCTGACAGCAGTCATGTTAACCTCCTAGTGCAGGCGGACCACAGAAAAATGTTTAAATTCCCTCTCACTTCCCAATTAAAAATGTCATGTTCATTTATATACAATGAATATGTTCCTAATACAAAACTTACTTATAAATGTTTCTTTCTCATCTGATAAGTAACTTGTCTTAAAAATCTAACAACTTATTGATATCTTTGTTGAACCAGGAGTACGTTGCAAGTGAGGGTGAAGAAGACCCAGAAGTTGAATTTTTAAAGTCTCTAACAACCAAACAAAAACAGAAGCTTCTCCGGTAATTAGGAATTTATATTCAATGGATTTATTTTTTCTTTATGTTTCATCATAGCATCATATAACCCTAATCATAAGAGCTCATGAAGTTCCTTAAACCAGTCATCACAATTATTGGTTTATTATTCAGCAATAGTATTACAAATCTTCCTTTTCAGTGATAGGAAAAGGAGTGTCAGGTTATATGTTCAGATTATACCACAAAACTGTTGCACTTTTTAGAACATGGTATTTGGAAATAGACTTATTTGTACATTAGTATATTTTTTGCACACAGTTTTCAGAAAATGAGTATTTGCTCCTCATATTATACATGACCCCGTATGTTTGGGCCATGTAGTTTCTAACTTTTTTCAGTTTCATGAGAAATACTGGAAGATTGCTTAAATCGAGGTCAGTACAGATGTTGTTAAACAGATGGCCTCTGGAGTGAAGAATCTAAGACATGTCCGCTGCAGCCCATAGAGGGAGCTCATGATGTCTTCAGTGTGCAGTTCTGAGCGTGCTTGGAGAGAGCCAGTGAAGACGCTGTGATTTCACAGTGCCAGAGACTGCGATGTGCTCTCTAGGCATTCAGAATGCCTTAATATGGTTGTCCTAATTATTTTTAGAATTAAATAATTGTTGAAAATTAGTATGTGAGTAATTTATATAACAAAGTATCAAAATTTTAAAATATGTTCTTATTCAGAATTTCTGGAGCATGTACTCTTAAATTTTGGTAATCAATGTTGATTAGTTTCCACACTTTAGTCATATATAAAGTTAATTTTTCATCTGATTATAGCTGTATATTTTCAGATTGCAATAAGTACAACTAATGTTATACAGATCTTTCATAGGTTTTCTTTAGACTAACATGGCCATTTATTTACAGTGCTATCGTTTCAAATTCTAGCTTACTAACAATGTGATTTTTAAATTTTATTTCTTTATTTTAATTTTTTCGTTGAAAGGCAGAGAGAGATGACAGAGATAGATCTTCCATCCATTGGTTCACTCCGTAAATGCCCACAAATACAAGGGCTAGGCCAGGCTGATGCCAAAAGCCTAGAACTTTATTCAGGCTTCCCACATGTATGGCAAGGAGCCAAGTTCTTAGACCCTTACCCGCTGCCTCCCACTGTACACATTAAGCAGAAAGCTACAATCAGAAGCAGAGCCAGGACTGATACTGAGGCACTCACCAAATACCTACCCCACAATGGCTTTTTAAAATAGTCATTACTATGACTATCATCAGTATACTGATGAAGTATACTCAGAGACTTGGCTTAATGCATTTAATTTTTTAGTTTAAACTTCATGTATACAAGTCTGGAATAAAACGAAAATGATTTGTCATTTAATAAAGTAAATAGCATGTTTAGATATGGATACCATTTTTAGTAGTTCCTGAGAAACTAAAAATTGTCTACGGACAATTCTGTCGCCGTTGCGGAAAGGACAGTTTTTCACAGTCTGCACCTCTTTCTTCTCTATTACAGGAAATTGGATCGGCTTGAGAAGAAAAAAAAGAAAAAGACAAAAGATAGAAAAAAGAAAAAGCTTCACAAGAGAACTAAACACAAAAAACATAAAAACAAATCCTCTTCTTCCTCCTCCTCCTCGTCTTCTTCTTCCTCCTCCTCCTCCTCCTCCTCTTCCTCCACTGAGACTTCAGAAAGCAGCAGTGAGAGTGAGAGTGACAGCAAAGGGAAGAAAAGAGAAAAGAAGAAAAGAAAGAAAAACAGGTGTTCCGGGAATAGCAATGATTCTGAAGAGAAGGACAAGTCTAAGAAGAGGAAACTTTATGAAGAACTTTCTAGCAATCACAGCAAGGAAAAAGCCAAGGAAAAGCTTGGGTTTTTAAAACAGGAGCATTCTGGGGAGAGTAGCAAACGGGGCCATTCTGATTATGACAGAAAGGCCAGAAGCCATAACCATGGCCCAGAAAAGAGAAGATCTGAAAGACACGAGGGGAGCAGCAGAGGCCACAGCAGGGATGAGAGGAGGAGGAGCCGAAGCCGAAGTCCTGATGGTTACAAGCAGAAGGAGACAGGAAGGCAGTCACAGTGGAGTCCCAGGGAAGAGCGGAGTGGAAGAAATGATGTCAGAAGCCACGGCACACATAAACACAGAGAAAACACAGAGAGAGAGCACTCGGGAGATAAACGGACAAAAGTGACACAGCGGCGAAGCAGGAGTAGAGAATAAAGAGAATGTGTGTGGCAATCACCTGGAAACAAAACCGTCTCCATTTTCTCACTGAGTACCTTTCGCAAGGGCTAACTTGTGTGCTATGTGTTTCTAATGAAAAAAAAAAAACTTTTAATTTTCCATTTCTGTAACTTGTCATTTCAAGTATAAAACTGTATGTGCACTGTAAGAATGAATTTTGCAAATATTTATAAGTAATCTGAGGGCTGTAGAAACAATTTCTATTGGTAACTGTTTTTTGAGCCCTGTCCCAGATAAAAACCCCATATAACTCTGTGACATTTCTTTGTTCTGAAATATCATTAAAAGAATGACAGTACATTGAATGGGTATAATTTAATTTTCTTTTTTAAATTCAAATTTGTGATTTTACAACTGACTTTTACTTGAAGCCAAGTACAATCATTGTTGGAATTCACTAGTGTGAACTAAACAGTGGCTTGATCAATATTTAAGACTTTGAAACTCCCCTCAGGTGTTTTGTTCTACAGAGTAAGCTACAGGGTATACATTTGGATGATGTGTTTGTGTGCTGCCATACACATTACCTCAGAGGCTCAACAGGACAAATGCATCATCTGAACGGTTTCGGAGATCAGAAGTCTGACGTATCCTTGGGCTACTGCAGTGTCAGCTGGCCTGTGTTCCTCCTGGAGGCTCCAGAGGAACATCTGCTTGTTTATTAATTCCAGCTCCTGGATGCCGTCTGCATGCCTTGGCGCCTGGCCACCTTCCACCGTTTCCAAAGCTAACAAAGGAAAGTCAAGTCCTTCTCACAACTAATCACCCTGGCACTTCGACATTATGCAGCCCTCTTCCAGTTATAAGGACCCCCTGATTACACCAGGCCTATCTGAAGAATCCAGGGTGATCTCCCTATTTTTAAGATCAACTTACTTGCAACCTGAATTCCCCCTGTCCGTGCAGTGCAACATTCACAGGTTCCAGGGTTAGAGCTCTGTACATCTCTGAGGGACAAGCATCCTGCCTATCACTGGTGGCCTTTGTACCACAGGTACCCAACTCTCCAGAGGGTTAAGCATTCATGTAATGTCACAACACACCGCAAACCAGATATACTTCATGAGTATCAGTATATAAAGCATGTTTGAATGTAGCCACAGAATTTCCCATGTGTTTGAAAGAATATGTAGGGTAAAGAGAAACTAGAAAAAAAGTCCGCAAGTACCATGCAGTTCCAAGAACATTGCACATCATGTAGAGAGTATTTTTATTACTAGGGTTCCATTTTTTAAATAAAAACGTCTGCTAGTGAATACAAGAATGCCAATGAGATGGCTGATTTCGTAAGTCCTATAGGAAAGCAAGTGCGAAGGAGACGTGAGGCCACCCTACGTAGACTTTATGCACACACATAAGTGCCCGCTAAAGATGCTAAGTAAAGATGTAAGCAGCTCTTTGTTTAGATTTTAAGAGTCGGAGAGGAGATGAAGTTGAATTCCTTCTACAGTATTCTTTAATAACAGTGCACCTCAAAGATTCCTTCACGTAAGAAAAAGCGTGCATTTCAAATTGATAGAGACTGCTAATTTACACCTTGAGCTCATCAGTGTTGCAGTGATTATTTTCTACCTTACACCTTTTTAGACTTTATAATTTTTATAATGTCAAAACCTGTGCAATACTTACTGCCTTAACGGGTTTCTGAACCAATGTAGTGTTCACGAAGAGAAATGTTGAAATGCATCCTGTAATTAAAAATGAATTAAAGAAATACATTATCATTTTACATTTTTTTCTCATTTGACTCATTAAAGCGTGGTCCACTTTTAACTTTGTATAAAGTGGCAATAAGAATATTTTTTAGTCTTTTAATTAGCCTTCACAGTTAAGAAGTTACGAAGTGCTCTAAAAGCCCCAATAATCTCTTCAATTCTGAGAAAAATTTCTAGTTAGTTAGGTAAGATGTTGATTTGCTATTTGGCTTTCAGCCTCGGTCACGGAGGGTCGTGGACAGGCCCAGTGGCCCAGCGTTCTAAGGTAGTAACTCCAGGAACAGAAGGAGGCTGAGCCACAGAACAGTAACACATAGCTGTGAAGGAGCCCACCTTAACATCCTTTGCAAATTCTAGTGATACCAGAGAAAAGATAGTGATTTTCTAAATAAAAATATTGGGTATCTAATTCTACTTTCGATTTTGAAATGTAAGGTAGAAACCAGAGCTGAACCTTGAAATGCAAAGGATGCCTAGTAGTAGGTGAGGAGTACAGAAAAACCCTCCAGGTTGATGAGCCCATGAGCTGAGCACCCAAACAAAAGTCCTCGCCAGTGGGATGTTTTAGAAAACCAGTCTGATGAAACGTATCACTCTTACCCTCAACAGAGAAATTCTTTTATGGAAATCTGAGTACGCCTAAGTATTTTTATTTGCCCTTGGGCCTAGAACCGCACTGAGAGGCCTGGGCCCATTTTGGAGGCTCTGGCCCGGCCCGGCCTCTTAGCCCCTGGCCTAACATTTAACATAACACTAGCAAATTAATTCCTGTAGGAGGTGCTGTCGATTTATAAATGGCCAGGAAAATCGGGTTGCTAGGTTAGGACTTGTTTATCTGAACGTCTAGTGGTAAATTAGTCATAATTTCTTTCAATAAATGCCCAAACAGGCAGAGGTGGCTGCAGCGTGGCGGCCGGTGTGCTTACCCCGCCAGGTGAACTTGAGACGTTGTTCCGAACCACGGGAAAGCTTTGCATGGGGAAAGCCTCGGAGCGCCCTTTCTTGAGGTTCTCCCCCAGCCGCTGCTCGCCGACGGGGAGCGCCGGGCGCGGGCGTGGCCCGGCGAGAAGCTCCCCGCATTCTGCGTGCTACAGCGTCCAAGCCCCCTGAGTTTGAGTCCACCGGGCCGGGCCGCGCCCCCGACCTGCGGGCCGCTGGGCCACGGCGCTGGCGCAGACCGCTCAGGGAGGCCACATCGTCCACACCCTGCACTTAGGACCTGGAAGAAAGCTGCACTTTTAGCTTCAGCGGCTGAGAGATATTTAAAAATCTCATTTAGGTTTTCTGAAAAGAACACCTTTGCTCTAGTTGGCACTTCTTGAAAACAGATAAAGAAAGGCGTACGCTAGCTGCTTGCCTTGCGAGCTTTTCAGGATCAAAAAGAAGAAACGCGTTTTCAAAAGTTGGGAAGAACAAATAAGACCGGAGGGGCCTCTAAGGTTTGGAAAAAGCGGTGGCAACTGAGCCCCCTCACTCCCCTCCAGAGACCGAGCCTTCTACACCCGGCTCCCGCCGACAGGAGGGGAAGCAGACACCTCCTCGCCCACCGCCGTCCCCCCATCCGCGGCGCTGATGCGAACCCCAGAACCCCACATTCGGCACCAAGCAAGGTGCGGGGTGGGGCGCGCCGGCTGCTGCGGCCCATGAGCCTGCGACCCCACAGAGACACCCGACGCCCAAGCCCTCCGTGCCGAGAACGGGGAGGCCGGGGCATTCCGGGACTGGCCAGAGCGAGCCAAGGACGGCTCCCGAAGGAGCCCGTGCCCCCGAGGAGACGCCACCCCGCGTCCTCCGGCGGGTTCCTTCCAGACGCGCGTCAGGCCCCCTTTTGAGCACACCCCAGAGCCCCAAAGGGAGAGGCTGAGACTCCGGGGGGCACACTCCCTTCCCAGAACATGCGCCTCCCGCGCGACGAGGCCGCTCGACTCCCTACCCACGGGCAGAGAGTCCGAGTTGGCTTTCCGCACGGCCCCTGGCCCCGCGGGGCGGCCCGAAGCCCGCCCGGAGAAATTCTCAGGCTGCCCAGGCAGGAGCTGAGGCCCGGGGCTCGGCGCGCCGGGGCCGCCGCGGGCCCTCGCCTGCCTGCCAGCTCCCGCCCGAGCTCGCCCGGCCTCGGGCGCGTTTCCGCGGCGCGGGCCGCAGGGCGCCTCGCCCTCGGGGCTCCGGGAAGCCAGCGTCCGCGGCGGCTCGCGAGCCACAGGTGAGGCGCGCGCTCCGGGCCTCCGGTCCTCACCTCTGACTCCCGAGGCATCCGTGAAAACGTGAACGCCCGCCAGCAATCCGCGATTGGGGGAGACACCCTGTGACTCTGCGATTTCTTTTATAAACGGATCGCCCAGAAGTGCTCAGATGCCTGCAAAACAGTGCAAAATCCTCAGGATTAATTCCCAAAGGGAGAGTGCAAGCGTCTTGGAAAACCCAACAGCGCTCAGGTGCTGCGCCTCCCCGGGTCCCTGGAGGGCCGTGTCCCCACGGACGTTCCGGAAAGTCGTCCTCACCAGGAGTTAGGAACACCTCGCACATATTTATATCAATAATATATGGGGCAGGCATGTCTGTATGTGTTTACCTCACACGTATTTCCATAAACTCCAGCGTCTGGAAGGGGGTGGGGTGGGGGTAACACCGAACGGTTAAAATTATGGAGAAGGGATAATAACTGATTACTAATTTGAAAGTAAATAAACAGGTGACTTTTTCAGATCAAATCCCTCCTTGGATCGTTACAATAAATATCTCTGAAGGAAGCTCTCTATTTATGTTGTCATTGATTAATTCTTCACTACCTCATTTGATTTCGATTTAGAACGATTTGATTCTAATTTAATTAGCATGTAATTTGGATGTACATAATTACTGTAATTATGACATTCAGGTAAGGCAGCTTTAGGCTGAAAGGCAATTTCAAATTTTCTAGCAACCTACTTTGTACTGGGAAATGGACAAGGACTTTGCGCCCTGCTATCCAAGTAGTAATTAGCACATCTTTGAAATAGGCAGTGCGGCGGGGTTTGTATTAAAACAGCAAATACAAACCCAGCCCAGTTACCCGCCGCAAAGGTGGCTGAGAGAACCGGGGAACTCGTCGCGGTCCGCCGCCTCCAGGCCGGGTAGCTTGGAGCCTCGGCCGGGCTCTCGCGGCCGCGGGCGCCGGCTCCTCCGCCGTCCCGGGCGCGGGGTTCGAAGGTGTCGCTTTTAACATTAAAATACAATAAATGCGGGGAGCGGGTCGGGGGGCAGCCAGAAAGGATGGGAGGAAGACCTCGCAAGACCTCTGCGGGCCGGGGTGGGGGTGGGGAAGTGGGTGGGCCCGGGCGAGGAGGGACGGGGCGCCGGGGAGGCCGACGCACCGAGAGCGAGCTGGCCGGCGCCCCCAGCTGTCACCCATTTCAGCTGAGAGGTCTCGGAGGGAGAGGGGGAGGCAAAAGGCGTCAGAGTGTGTCGGGAAGGGTGCGCACCCTTCGGTCGGGGTTGGGGGCTGGGGGTTTCTCGCCGCCGCCGCCGCCCGGGGGCCCGGGCCGAGGTGGCCGTCGGGAGGACAGGGCGACAGGCCTCTGCGGCCGTGCCCGAGTCCGGCGGCCGCGCCGCGGGTGCCTCGCCCCGCTCCTCCGAGGGGCCTGTGGTGGGGAGGGCCCGGCGCCTGCTCCACTCCGCGAGGCCCTCGGATCCCGGGTCCACGCTGCGCGCACTGCCGGGCCCCGTCCCGGGTCCTCGGCGCTCGGCGATGCCAACTCCGAGTGGGAAGACCCTGGAGTCGCCTTGTAGAGGACGTTACGAGCGACCGTCCTGCGACCAGGGCCGAGCAGGACTTCATTTCGTTTGTTTTTGTTTGGGTGTTCGGCTTGCACGTTCCAGAAACGACCTCCGTCCTGGGGAGCCGCTTCTGAGCTGTGCCCGCCAGCAGCGTGGCCCGGTGCCCGCGCGAACACAAACCCTCGCCGGTCCGCTTGGCCGTGGCCTGCTCGCAGTGGCCAAGGGCGGGCGCCGGGCTGCGCTCGAGTGGCCGCGGGCCGGGCCGACAGCGCGGCCTTCCCGCTTCGAAGCTCTAGATGGCGCCCGCGAGCCGCACTCGCCGCGCTCCTCTTCGGGGAATCAAGAGCTACTGTCAAACATAAAAGCAAATCAGAGTTTTCAGTTTTTTTAATGTGTTAAGAATGTTATTCCTTAAGAAAATTTGTAGCTAAATTATTCTCACTTAAAATAAACACTTAGTATACCAATTACACAAATGGGCGGGATTTATGTGAGATTTACTTCATCTGCATTTTTGTAGTGGAAGAGAGCCTTGGTGAATACAGATAATAGATGCAAACAAGATTAGAGTTAAAATAAATAAAGTTTCCGTCTGAATAAAAAAATTCAATTTTACTAGACTTGCAACGACGTGACGGAATGGCCAGACACGCCGTCCAGGTGCACACTCTAATCGCATCAGAATAATGTTGTTCCCCCCCACCCCCCACGCCCGCCCCTGGAGGAAAGAACACATTTTCCGCTTCCTCGTCAGGTAGGGTCCAAGGCGGCAAAGCAGCGTCAGGAAAGGAAGCCAGGGAGGGTGTGAGGGGGCCGAGACGGCGCGGGGCGTTCGCTCCTGGGCTGCCAGGAAGCTAGAGGGCGAGGCGCGGGAGGCACCCGCCAAAACGAAATCGCGATTCCCGCACCCCACCCGGGCCTCCAGGCCGCAGCCTGAGAGGCCCCGCCGAGGGGGCCCTGGGGAGGCGCGGCCCCACCTCCGATGGGGACCACACTCGGTCCTCACTTGGAGGGGTTCTCTCCAATTTGCTCGGCCTCAGCCGGTGGTCGCCAGCTCGGGTCGAGGTTCCGCGAGACCCAGGGGCGCCCAGGGCCGGAGGGCGGCATGGGGTGGGCCCAGGGGTCGGTTTCTTCCGTGGGTTTCGGCCGCGGGCGGGGCCCCGCTGCCCTGCGGTTCGGGTTTGGCGCGCTCGGGTCCCCCCCTCCCACCCCGGCTGAACGCCGGGCCCGGCCGCCGCCCGCCGCCCCGGGAGCCGCGGTGATGGACGTCCGCTGACCCGCGGGCCAGAGGCCTTGATCACTGGCCTGCGGAGGGAGCCGCGCGGCCGGCGGGACCTGCGCGGCCAGGCCCTTTGATCTGCCCTTTATTATCCCCGGGAAACAAAGCGGCCTGGGCCGGACGCCCGGGCGCCCTCGCTCCCCGCAGCCCAACACAGCCTCGGCCCCGCGGCGCGGCCCGCGCCCCCGAACGCGCCGAGCACCCTCCGGACCTCCAGCGCGCGGCGTCCCCCGCGAAACTCCACGGAGGCCCGGCGCGAGCCGGAAGGCGCGTGCAGGCGCGGGTGGGGGAGCCCCGGTCACGAACATTCCAAGCGGAGACAGAAAATGGCGAAAGTGAGACGAAACTTGAGGAAGAAGAGCAGGGCCGCGCAGGCTGCGGCGAGCGCCCAGAGGGAGGAGAGGGTTCAGAAGCCACCGCACCCCGGGCCGCCGACGCCCCGCTGGGGACCCTCGTTCTGTTCCTTCGCCACTTTGCCGCTTGGCTTCTCCGAGCAGAGTGGGGAAAAAACGTTTTGTTGACTGCTAGTGATTTTTTTCTCTCCTGAGAATCAAAACCTTCACTCAAGTTCCCTAGACGGACGGTCATCGAGAAAGAAAAAGAAAATCTGTTGGTGCTGACTTCGCTTGTGTTTTTCCTATTGTGTGGGAAGCCTTTTAGAAATATTTCTATCCTATGAATATGTACTTTATTTTCTAAATTAATTTTTTTCTCGAATTGCGAAATTATCTCATTTACCAATTTCTCTTTTCTCTCTCCCTCCCTTCTCCCTCTTTCAAACCGAGGCTGTTAAGTTGGTGGTCAGAAGACAAAGAGAGTGAAAATAATTTTCATTTCAATAATTGCCTTCTGGTCAATTTAACTGTGCCTTATTTTGAAAGAGACTGTCTAAATGAGATTCCTGTCCCAAATGTGTTCCCAGGCCTGATCCCAGCCTTTAATTATTCCTGAGTTTTTTTCTTCAGAATAAGACGCCGCACTGAGTAATCACAAAGAAGTCAGAGAGCATCCTTGAACCTTTTCAGAAGCAGCGCCACTGATATTCAAATAACCTGCGAGGGCCATTTGCTGGCGCGGGGACTAGCCATTTCCAATTCACTATTTGCATAGATCAGCCGTCTTTGAAAAGGAAAGGAGCAGTTGTCGTCCATAACATTAAAAAGCCTAGTTATCAAATCAAGTGCTTAGTTTGGGGGCTTTTAAAACGTTTACATTTTATCTCAGGTTGCCCTTTACGTTTGACATGCAAATTTGGTGCAGTTAATTTAGACAATTAAAAAGATCTTCAAGGGAGCTTTGTCACAGAGAATATTTGGAGTTTTCCCCGTGGACCAGCTGAGATAAAGTTGGCCAGAACAAATGATGTCTAGGAGATTAATTAGATATTTGATAAGACATGAATCCCTAATAAGGGAATACAAGGCACAGGGGGCTGCTGTGTGCTCTAAGTCAAAATTAATAACATTTAACAAGATTTTCATTTAGGCATGAAATGTCTTTTCCGGGTATTGACTCGAGCGATTTATTCCCCCGAGTAGCCTCCCAACGTAGAGGGCCTTGGGAGCCAGAAGACTTCTTTCGAAAAAGCTTTTTTCCTTTTACAGATTGTTTTTTAAAAAGCGATTTAAACAAACAAACCCACCGGGAGGAGTAGGACCCTCCCCAGTTAAGGCTGCCAAGGCCTCTGAGGTTTTCAGAGTTCTAGATGTCACCTTTCCGAGCCCTCCCATCAAGGAATACAACTACACGTTCTTATAACCCAATTTAATTTACGCTGTTGATATACAAATAAATAATTTTGACTTCTCAAAAACGTATATGTATTATGGCTTTTATAACCCACATAAACTTTACATTACCTACAACTAACATAAAGGGAATTTTTTCCCCCAACAACAACAAAAAAAAGTCGACCCACGTGAAGGTTATTGAGGAGGGGGTGGAAAGGAAGTGTTCAGAGTCCTTTAATAATACCAAAATGAAAATATGATGTCAAGATTTTCTTCATACAGATAAACGCATTTAATTTCTTTAGATGACCTTAACTTACGTGTTTGAGTGGAATGATAACTCAACATTTTAAATATCTTTTACATATATACTGACTTTCACAAAGTGCATCAGAAAATTAAAAAAAAAACTTCCTGAATTTCAGGAATTCACCAAAAAAAACCCTCTATTCGAATGAACATTTACAAGAAAATAAAAGAGAACACAATCTTTTGAACCCTATTTATACAGATGTTATGAAATACAGAGAAACTGTCGCTAGACTTCCAGTTTAATTTCTCACCTTAAGCCTTTTTTTATGCTTCCCTTTTTAGGAAAAAAAAAAGTATCGCAAGTAGACATCAAGCAGGACTTGGAGCATCTTATATATAGTATAATCCGCACAAAGGGTCTGTTTGTTTCGGGTCCCGTCCGTTTGCGAATGTTCCGGTGGTCCTTGGCTGGGCGCTGGCTCGGTGCTCGCACCGGGGAACAGGAGGGCGGCGCGGGCCAGGCGCAGGACTAAGCGTTCCCGGGTCTCGCTCTTCGCTCGGGACGCCTGTGTGAGCGGAGTGTGTGTGTGTGAGTGGGCGCGCTCGTGCTTGCGGGTCTCCAGGGGTGCGTGTGCGTGAGTGTGTGTCTTTGCGTGTGTAGTTTTTAAAAAGTGGTGCTGTCGGAGGACGGTTCGCTTTGTTTCGGGACCACGCGTTCGATTCTCATCTGGGCGCGGACGGCAGAGAGAAGCTCCTGGCGCGGCGGGCGAGCCACGGCCCCGGAGCCCCGCGTGGCTCCACCTCGCGCGCAGCCCGGGCCCGGGGGGCTTCCCTGGAGCCCCTGCCCTCTCGTCCCCCGCTGGCTCGCCCTTGGAACCTCTCGATCGCTCTCGGTGTCTCTGTTGGCTCGCTCGCGCCTAGGGTCTGGCCTCTAAGAGTCGTTGGGGCCAGACGTGGCTTCCTTGCCTCCCGCAGAGGCGGCCGCTGCCGCCGCCGCCGCCGCAGCCGCCGCAGCCGCTGCCGCCGCCGCCGCCCGGGCGGCACTGACGCCGGAGTCGTGCAGGATGAGGTCGGGGGACTCGGAGCGGGGCGTCTCCAGGTTGCTGGCGTCCGTGTCACTGTCGCTGCCCTTTTTGCCCCCGCCGCCCCCGTTGTGCGTCTTAATGTGTTTGCTCAGGTGGTCGCTGCGCATGAAGCGCTTGTTGCACACCGGACAGGCGAAGCGCTTCTCGCCCGTGTGAGTCCGCAGGTGCCGCTGCAGCTCGTCCGAGCGCGTGAAGCGCTTGCCGCAGAAGAGCCAGTTGCACACGAAGGGCCGCTCGCCCGTGTGCCAGCGCAGGTGCGCCTTCAGGTGCGACGTCTTGCCGTACACCTTGCCGCAGCCCGGGATGTGGCAGCTGTGCAGGCCCTTGCGCCGCAGGCTCGCGCCGGCCGGGCCCAGCCGCTCCGCCTCCTGGCAGTTGGGGCAGTCGCAGGTGGCGCGGCCGGAGTACCGGCGGGCGGAGCGCGCCGAGCTCCCCCCGGCGGCCGCGGCAGCGGCGCCCGAGATCATGGCGCTGGCGGCGGCGGCGGCCACCGCGGCGCTTGAGTCCGAGTAGGAGGGCAGCACCGGCTTGAAGCCGTCCTGGGCCAGCAGGTGCTGGCTGGTGGAGAGCAGGTGCGAGGCGGCGGCGGCCGAGGAGCCGAGGCCCGTGGAGCTGAAGGCCGAGTGCGTGAGCGAGCTGAAGTCGGGGTTGTAGGTGCCCAGCTGCGAGTGCAGCGAGGCCTGGGGGGCGCCCGAGTGCAGCGAGCTCTGCAGCCCCCCAGCAGGGTTCTGCACCTCCAGCCACGACCCCGGGCTGCTGTGCACGTCCCACCACGACGACGCTGCGCCGTTGGTCACCTCGCCCGCCGCCAGCGTCGAGTGGAAGCCTGACTTGTACCAAGACTCGTACGGGTGCGCCATCCCCACGCGGGAATAGAGGCCGTCGGCCGCCGTCGTGTGCACCTTGGAGATGAAGGCCGACTGGCCACCCGCCTCCTGCGGGGACACCCCGGCCGCCGCCGCCGCCGCCGCCGCCGAGTTGGAGAAGAGGCCTCCGTAGTCGCTGCTGAAGGCGGACGACGTGGGCGACGTGGAGGCCAGGCAGAAGGCGCTGTTGGCGGCGCCCGAGCCGCCCGCCAGGCCGCCCGAGCCGCGGCCGCCCGTGGCCACCGCGAAGCCCGAGAGGCTGGAGCCGAGGTTGCAGCTGGACGAGGAGCGCTTCCAGGGGTGGAAGCCGCCTTTGGCGAAGGCGCTCGACTCCGGCAGCGTCGTCAGCGGGCTCGTGTTGCCGATCTTGTTGCAGGTCGCCGCCAGCATGGCCAACGGGGTGGTTCCGAAGCGCGGCTCTTCCTGGAGTAGGGGGAGGGAGGGAGCGAGGAGGAGGAGGGCAGGAGAAAGTGGGGGAAGACACAAAGCGCACCCGTGAGCAGCCCGGTTCCCCCGCGACTGGTCCCCGGGGTGCCGTGGCTCCCGGGCCCGCGCCTCAGAACCACGCGCTCGCAGAGGCGGCGCCACGGCCGGCGCGGGGCAGAGGCGATCCCGAGCGCGAAGGTCCGGGCGCCGCAAAGTTGTTGTTTGGCGAGGCTGCGGATCTAGGACGCCTCCTCTGTCCCTACTCGCCCTGCCTAGACCCGCACTTGCGCTGTCGCCGTTAACCCGCGCCTCCGCCAGGAGCCCCCCAGGCACCCTTCCGGGCGAAGCGTGAAGGTAAACACAGCACCGTGCTTCCGGGGCGCGGGCCGCCGCTAACGCGGCCCGGAGACCCTCGAGACTCGGCGCACTCCTCCCAGGGGTGGCTACGACTCGCTGCTTTTAGAGTGGAAAACGCTGGTTTTAATGTTTACACATTTACACGCTGGTGATGGAAATATTCCGAGGATAAGCAGCCCAGCGACGGATTTCAAAGTCACGGGAGAACTGGCGAGCCGCGGAAACGTAAATGTTTATTAACGTGACTACACAGACTGCAAGACGATTAAGGCTGTTTTCTGGAAATACCACTGTCGCGTAATTGCAACAATCCCCCAAAGCAAGGGGGGGGGGGATGGGGGAAGAAGCCTCTGGCTTTTTTCTAAAACCAAAGGACAAGGGACTTGCTTAAGAAATCCTTTTCTTGCACACATCTCCTGGGTTCTACTTACTTAGAAATCAGTCCCGGAAATGTGGAAAGTGCTGAAAGGAGCTGGAGCTTGCAGCCCAACAGCAACAGTTTCTTGGCAGCCGCAGACCCCGAGAAGCCATAACGAAAAATGACTGCAGTCGAAACAAGCAAATGCGTTGCCGCGCTTGCGACTTACCCCGAGTATAGACGTGGCCATAGCAGGTCTCTGGGCTGCGTGGCGGGGCCAGGAGCGGGGCTGAGCCTGGCGGCTGCTCGGCAAAATGGCTCGGGTCCCGCACGGCTCCGGCGTCCCCGCGCTCGCGCCGAGCGGACTCCGGGCTCCCGCCGGCTAAACTCAGCCTAAGTGCGAGGAGCACCCGCTTTGAAGTGCCGCTGGCTGCGCCTCTCGCCCAATGAGGGCGCAGGCCCAGTCGACGGGAGCGGCCCCGCAGCCAATCAGACGTGCCGAGGGGCCCGAGCCCGGGCTGCTGGCGCGTGCCAGTCAAGTCTGCTAGCGAGGACCGGAGGGGGGAGCTGGGGACGGAAAAAATTACAGTGCAATTAAAAATTTACACACACTCACGCACCAAGCCAGGTTTAAGTGCCGTCGAGATGGAGCCGCGAGCCCCCCGGAACAGCCCCCGGGATGTTGCAAGTCAGGGCCGATGGTTCTGCACTCGCCACTTGTGGGAAAGGAGGCGCTGGCAGGGGAGGGGGCCAGGTGGACAGGGAGATGTCAACGCTCACTTTGTGTGTCCCTGCTCCGGGCTGCGAGGCACAACTTCAGTTCGTATCCGTCATTCCGTCTCGTGATTTTACCGGTGTCGATCGTCTTCGACCCAGGTCCTTGTTCTCACTAGGTTCAGCGTTCCTCTGAGTCACAATGAGGAGGGGGCGCGAAGGGACAATTCCGAGAGGAGGGAAGTGGGCCTCTCCGCACAGGTCTACACCCACAGATTCGCCGGGAGGGCCCGGGGCCTGCAGCCTCCCTCCACCCCTCCCCCACACAGCGGTCGAAGTGACTTCCTAATTGTCGCTCTGGCCTCTGACCCGGGGGGTAATACAAGTGCCACTCACGCCAGCAGCTTTTGGTGGTAATTGAGGGCACCCTTTGTACGGTTTCGCCAGCGCCTAGATACCAGGTTAACCCAGTTGTCAAATATGACTAAACAGTGGGACGTGCTGATTATCTGACGGGTTTTAGCTGGGGGCTGGCATGGGGGTGGGAGGCATCAACCCATACAACACGCTGCACGAAGCCGCTTATTTTCACATTGTAACAACTTTGGAAACAGAGACCCGCTCGAGCGGCGTCCGCCCCCGCCGCCACCCCCGCTGAAGCTGCAGCTTGCTCTGCTGTTTGTTTAACCCAGGGAAGATGTGCGTGTCGCCTGGCATCCCGGAGTCGAGTTTGCGGGCCCCACTCCCACTGCAGACCTCTAGGGCCTACAGGAGCCCGGCGCTGCACCCTGCTTTTGCAAAGGTGCTGAGGGAACCCCTGCCGGCCCTGCACCAGCCAGGGCCCGGGGCCAAGCCACACTTGGGCGCCTCCACCTTCCGCAGGCAGGAAGCATCCTGAAGTCTCCCCCAGACCTGGTCGGCGTGAAAAGAGGCGTCCCCGGACAGACAAGGGCGTGTCCTCGAGTCCCTCAGCAAGCGCTAAGCTAGCTAGTGTTTCTGGGCTCCGCTTTCTCTTTCTTCTCCGGGGAAGCCTGGAGCTGCTTTTGCACCAGGAATACCAGCGCCCTGGGGCAGACCTCGGTACTGGTTGTCATGCAGCACCGAACTCTCCAAACCTGGTGTGTGTGTGTGTACATATATATCATCATGTATGTCTCCGTATATACACACACAATCAATCAACCCTAAATGCTCGAGTGCAAAAGACGGGTCGAGGAGGGGGAGCAAGTGAGGAGGACATAGAAGTGTGCCCCGGCGTTTCCTCCTCTGCAAGATCTCTCGGCCCAAAAGTACGACCACCGTGGAGCTTCTCTTCAGCCCTGACACGGAGGCTGCTCGCATCCAGGGGCACGCCGCGGGCGGGAAGGGCCATGTGGGTCGCTTTGTTTTTCGTTAGAATACCTCTGCTCAGAATGCTTTCTTTTCTTTTTTGGGTTAAGGTGGCAAAGGCACCAAGGAAATTGTGACCGAGAAAAGGGAGAAGAGAGGAGAGCGAGAAGAACCGTGCATCTCTGCACGGAGCGCCGTGCCCTTCCTTTTCCGCCGCACTGGAGATCGGAGGGGGCGGAGGTGTGAAAACTCCCCAGGGGACGCGAGGTGGAAATCGGGCCTCGTGGAAGAACCGGAAAGCCCGGCAGGGGGACCCAGGAGCCGTTCCCAACAGGTGACTGCCGCCCTGGAAGGAGAGCGGGTCCCCAGCTTCCCGCGGAGTCTCCGCGTCGATTTACTAATAGAGGGATTGTGAGGTGGCAGCGAGGCGTTGCCGACTCACCCGGTGCAGCCCCGGGAGCAGAGGCGCCGAGGTTTCACCGACCACCTCCTCCCCCACCCCCAGCACACCCTCTTAAGGAAACCTGACGAAGTAATAAATACGACAATCCGAAAAGCCACTTAGCACTGGTGACCCAGAGGGCGGCTCTCGAAGGCACCCCGGGCTCCCGGCGCCCGGCCCGCCCGCCGCAGTCTCCCGCCGAGTCCCAGCTGTCAGACGCCGGACGTGGGCAACGCCGGACTGCGTTGGGCTCACAGGGGCCGCCGCGCAAGTTCGGGAAACCTGCCGGGCCAACGCGGGCCGACACCCAGGCCACCTCGATCCAGGGTGGGACCCCAAGGAAATCTTTCCCAGGAAGTCCAGTTTTTTTTTTTTTCTGACAGATTTTCCCCCCATCCTCTAAAAAATCTAGTTTTTAAACAAAGATCAATGTGTTATGCTAAAGTGTTGAGCTGACTGTTAAAACATTTGGGGAAATAATGACAATGTAACAAAGGCCTGGTTTGGAGTGAATCATCACCCTTTTAAAAGTTAAAGCAATTTTCAGGAGAATAGCTTTCAGCAAACGCTTTACATTATTCAAAAACGGCCAAATAATGCTCTATTATAGCGCCTGAATGCTGCCAGTCAGCCCCTAAGTGCAATTTGTGCAAAGGCCCCGGTGCCTTATCTCCACTTCTTTATAAAGAGGTGAATATAAAACAATTTCTTCCAAACCCAGACAGAGAGCACGAAAATTGCTTCCCTTTCTGCAATCAGGGCAATTTAACTGGAGTGCAATTAGCACTATTAAATGTCGATTCTGCATAAACAAATCTGACTGAGCAGCGAAAGTGGGGTGAGAACCTCATATACACTGAAACTGATTTTTTAAAATTATGTATCCGGGTCCTTTACAATTGATCCGTGACGTTTTCATCTCGGAATATATTTACATCGTAAATACACTATGGTTAAATCAAATATTTTTTGGCAAAATTCAACGCGAATCCTAATAAAGACGAATAGGGCAATTAAAGGGAAGAGTTCACTTCCTTTGAACAAATATTGTTTCTCCCATCTTGCCTCTCCCGAGAGCTTTGATCTGAGCAACTGCTCAAGTTGCTGTGTTTAGCCGGCAAAGCCGAGGAACAATTCCGTCATTAGCGCTGATCGGGAGGATTGGCGCTCCTCAGCCGCACAGGAAAAGCTTCCCCTGATGCTCGAAGCAGGGCGGCGACCGGGGGCCAGTTATTTTCTGAATAACTCGATCCGGTAGCTGGTTAGGTATTAGGTGGTGGCTCGGTCTCCCGGGAGCTTTGACCAAGCGCAGAGTTTAGCAGCAGACGCGCAGCACGGGGTTGGGGGGGGAGGGGAGGTGGAGTTGGGGCGCCTCGAGGATCTGGGCGGGAGCGGAGGTGGCGGGGGGGGGGGGGGGGGGGGGAGAAGGCAAGGTTCTCTCCAGGCCTGGCTGGCTGCAGTCAATGCCTGGGACACCGGCGTAGGGGTGCGGGTAGGGGGGTGGGGGAGGGAGGGGCAGGGGCTCCTAAAATGCGCTTATCTGACCTGTCCTCCCACCTGCCTTTATTTACTGATTTGCTAAGCCACGGAGCTTCCTTTTTGAATCATTTGTGCAATTAATTATGCTTTTCATTTGCATGATCCACACTAGAGCAGTGATTATCAGGTCAGCTCGGTTTGGGAGTTGGGGAGCTACATTAATAACTGGAGCTTAAAAAAAAACAAAACTGTCCCTGTGTATCACCATCGCCTGCCACGGGCTAGGGCCAAGGAAAACCAGTCTCATTCCTGGAGCCTGTTGAGTGGGGTGACTGCTTTGAACAGATGGAGCTTGGCAGTTGTGGGTGAAAATAAAATGCAGTTTTGATTAGAAGGGAACCTTTTACTGTTAACACATATTTATGTTTTTAAAAGCTCGAGTGTTGAGATCAAATAGATCAAGAAAATTAATTGAAAAGTGAGAAACTCTCTCACAGTTTCTGTTGAGCTTTTATTTAATACTTGCTCTAGAATGCCCTCATTCTAGCTCAACCTTTGCAAATAAAAAGGCCAGGAAGAATCAATAAACCAATAGGACTTTCATTTTTTTTTCTATTCCAAAGGTGCCTCTACTAGTTAGAGGTGGTAGCAGATGCAAATCTTTCTTGCTCTGTAGGGTCTGCTGGAGAAATTGAAAAACCCCTCTTCTATTAAGTACAGTCCAAATGTTTGCTACACAACTAATTTTCTGCTGCTAGATGTGTCTGGGACATATATTTTAAGCTTTCCTTGATCTGTTTATCTGAGCCAAAAATGCATTCACAATTAAAGGGAAGCCTCTGGTGTGTCAAAGGAAGGAAGGTGACTGTAGATTGTGTGATGATTTTAATGACTGCAATTATTGGAAGATTATTCAACAGCATCATAGATTTGTTTACTGCATTACTCGGAAACTATGGAGGGGGGCTATTCGGCTTGAGGATGTATCTTCCTCCCCTTCCTCACCAGCCACCAGAGTGGGCTTGGACCTAAGCAAAAATGGTGGTCAGTGTTAGTTGTCTCCTCTAAGAGCATCTCTTCCACAATGATGCACATGGTTATCCAAGCCAGTCCCTACAGACGTGGAGAGACATCAAAGATACCTTGAACTAATCCTGAGGAAAGCCAGCAAAAGCACTCTACCGTGGCCTCAGTTTTACCCTTTGGCCAGTCATCTCTGGAGGAAGCCTCCAGAACTCTTGCCTCCCCTGCCCCGAGCTTGCAGAAGGCGCTGCCTACGGGATGCTGAGCAGTGCAGGCATACCCACCTCCAGGAGTCCATACTGCAGAAACTTTGCCTTTTCTTCCTTCCATGTAACACCCCCTTCCCTCCCCTCCATATTATTTCCTGTCATAACTCCCAATGTTGTCCTACTAGAAATAAAAAGAAAATACAGAACTCGAAGCATATCAGTTTGTGACTAAGTTTTTTACTGTACATTCACACATCAGGGATGCAATAAGGAAGGCTTCGTGTTTCACGTTAATGATCCTCAGTCCACGATAATCAATAAATTGCAGCGCGGGCTTTGCTCATTAATGAATTACTGATTTGGAGGCGAGGTTGCGTGTGTGTGTGTGTGTGTGTGTGTGTGAATAGTAAATGCTGCCGGGAGCATTCCCTCCCCTCCCGTCCCCGAGGCGCTGAGACCGCCGTCAGGGGCTGCCCGCGCTCCGCCTGGGTTCCGCAGCCGCCCGGACTGCAGCTCACGGTGGACTTGGCTGGAACTGAGGACCTTTCCTCTTGAAACGTGAGCCTGCAGGATTCTGCAAGTGGCAATTAGGAGCCTATTACAAGCCATTAGATTGATCAATGTACCTTAAACAATGCGAATGATTTATAGGGCTGATTCACGCGGGGAAGAAAAAGAAAGCGGGAGGGATGGGGGGGGGGGGAGACTCCACTTCTTTTACATTCGCAGCACCCTCGCGGGGAAGAGCAGGGCCCAGCCTCCGTTCACCATAGCTAAGATCTGATTTACTTAGAAAACTTTGCAGAGCCACAGCTTCCTCGGCTTGTCCGGTGGGTGGCGAGATGCAAGTGCTTCGCCCTCTCTCGGCTTCCTAAGAAGGCGGGGAGGGGCAGCAGGCGGCCACCGGGACCACCCTGCCCGGGCCGAGGGAAGACCCCGCCCGCAGCGGCCCTGCTGCCCCCTTCTCTCTTCTTCCCCGGGGCTGTTCCGGAGAGCGGACCCGCCTCGCAGGCTGGTTTAGCCGAGTGCTGGGGACCCTCATGGCCTCCTCCTACGGCGGGAACCCAGATCCCTGAGCCCTTGAAGTCTGAGGCGTGACACAGGCCGGAGCCGGGGTCCGAGGTCCTTGCGCGGAAGATTCCTTCCGCTCCTCTACCACGCGAAGGCTCGATCAGAACCGGTCCAGCCCTCCCGCAGGGCCCGGCGTCCGTCCGGAGTCGCCTCCTCGGCTGCAGGAGCTGCAGGCTTCCCATGACAAGGACACTGCCGCCAGTGTCCCCGGAGCCTGCGAGGGGAGGACAGACGCATTTCACCCGTCCCAGGGGGGGAGGTCCCCTTTGTCTGACCTCCTCCTTCCGAGTCTGCCCGCAGCTCCGTCACGGGGGAAGGGGCAGGCTGTGGAAGAACCCCGGGCAGGGCGCAGGCGACCCTGCCCTGCGGTCCCTCCTTCCTCTTCTCGACCCCAGCCCTCTCCCCCCTCCTCCCTGCCGCCTTCTCTCCGGTCCTCTCACCACCCGTCTTCTCCCGGCTCCCGCGCCCAGAGCCTGGGCAGGCGCCGTTTCTCTTCCTGGCCTCAGCGGTTTGGCGGGAAAGGACTTCGTCCTGGCTTGTTCATGGGTGTCTGGGACGAATCCTTTTGTTTGTGTCTAAATGTGGGATCGGAAGCTTTGCGGGCTGATAATGGGACGCAGAGGGAAGAGAGAAAGAGCGAATAAACACCACGCATGTGTCTTTTGCAGCCCGTCTGCGACGAGGGCCCAGGATCTGCAAAGCCTCCCAGGTGGATGGCGACTCTGCTGCTCACAGCCAGCTGCGCTCATCTGTCCTTCCTCGCTACGTCCCCTCTCTTGATTTCTGACTTCGCTTCTCCCGGCCTTCCGGCGCACTGGGAGGCTGAGAAACAGGGCCAGTTCCAAGACCCCAGCGCCCCGAGACTTCCCCGGGAACAGGCCTGCCCTGGGCCCACATGGCCAAGCTTTCTTGGTCTCAGCCACTCTGGAGCCCAAGGTTGCAGGGTTAGCCAACCCTGCCATACACTGTGATGTCAAATAGATACCCTTCCCAGGTCCAGATGGAAACCCTCCAACCCTACCGGCTCTGGGAGTATTAAATGGCGGGGGGGGGGGGGTCGAGGGGCTAGAGGGAGGTCCGGCACACTTCAGACACGTGCGCCTCCCTTGGCTTCCTCTGACCCCCACGCAGAATGTACTCTGACGGCACAGCCACACTTACCTGGCACAGGCCAGCGCCGCCCAAACTCCGTCGTAGCCAGGGATCAGCAAGGGGGTGACACTGCCGCGGGGAGGCAGGCGCCAGCTCCAGGTGCTTCCCCGGGAGCAGGGGGTGTTCAAAGCCAGCTGCGAGCTTCCCCACCGGGTGGCCAGCGGCCTCCCCTCCACCTCCCGCAGAGCTCCCTTGCCGCTTCCTGCTCCGCACCCCGCTCGGTATCTCTGCATCTCCGCAGCCGCAGCCCCCGAGCGCCCCTCTCCAAGAAGCCTCCTCTACGCCTCCCATAGGCTCTGTTACATCTGGGATGCATTGCCCCTTAATTGTCAACCCCATCATTGTGATCAAGTGAACGTTGCTAATCTCTACATTTATTGTTTAGGTAAATAGAGGCTGCGTTTAATCAATATGCAGGGCCCCAGCCCTCGCAGCGCCAAGTAACTTAAGTCAACGGTGAAGATTTCAGTGTGTGCGTAATTACAGAGCACGCGGAACATTCACTCCAGCCTAATTCCACATCTCTTCCCCGTCCCCGGGGAGCCGGAGGAAAAGAACGCGAGGATTCTCCACCCTCTGAGGGACTGAGGGTCGTCTCCTTCGGGGCCAGAAAAGGATTTGGTGGCTATGCCACCAGGCGTCCGGCTCGTGCCCTAGACGGAGCGCGTAGCGGACGCCCGGGCCTGAAACCGGACTAGGGATGCCCCTGACTTCCTAGAGGCGGGATCCCGCTCTCCGCGCCCCCTCCCTACCACTTGGAAACCCCTCCCCCCCAAATTTGCCACAGCGAGGAGGGCGGTTCCCACCCCCGGGTGCCCCCGGGCGGGAGGGCTGGGGGCGGGGTCGCGGAGGCGGGTTGCCGGGTGCTCCCGACGCCCCGGCCCCCGCGTGCCTGCTGCCTCTCCCCGCCGCAGCTCGGAGCCGCGGAGTTCCCTACGGGTGGGGGTGGGGAACTCCCGAGAGTGCTGCGCTCGGGCGCGCCGTGCCAAGGCTCTGGGCCCTTCTCCTTAAACAGCTATTGTCTCCTAATTAAGAGGACCTTGGGAGAGGATCAGGATTCGCAGAAGGGGTGGGCGGGTCTAGGGAGGGGCGGTGCCCTCCTCGCAGCAGCTGGGCGCGGGGAGCGGCCCCGGATTGAGGGCCTCTGGGCCTCCGCCGGGAAGGGGTGAGCTGGGATTCTTCCAAGGGGCTGCGGAGGGAACCTGGCCCCTCCCGACGTCTTGGAGTGGGGCCCAAAGAGCTGACCCTCCGCTTGAGACACAAACACTTCCCCTTAGGCAACTGTCGCCCAGGGTTTCTGTTTGTCCTGGTGCCTCTCTCTCCCCGCTCCATTCCCGAGACAGTTCGACAAAAACAACCAATAACTCCAGTTGTAACCAGACAGTTGCATCGCCTGGAGCTGTCCCTCTTCTGTGTAAGCAGGCTGCTATGGTCGGCTCATCGCTTGCGAGGTTGGGGTATGGAGAGCAGCGTTACACTGTATTACAGACGGAGCTGGAGTTTAGGGCCCTCACTATTGGATGAAAGCTATTGACTGGTTTTAATTTTTGGAATTGAACAGCTCTCCTATAAGGTCTCTCTCTCTCTCTCCCTCTCTCCCGCTCTCCCTCTCCCTCTCTCTCCTTTCTTCTTCCTGTAAAAGTTGAATAGCATTTACAACAAGAGGGAAATTAAACACAAATGTCAATGCAATCCCGAAACGCCTTTTCTTTCTATTATCCCGAAGTCTTCTCTCCGCAGGTCCCAAGCTACTCCCAAATCTGTGACCCTGCTGATCTGATAAGCAGATCTTCTACATCCTGTCTGCAAACGCCCTTCCAGTGTTCACTTAGCAGTTTCTGGGGCATGGTTGTAAAGGTAGGCAGAGGAAAAGCAAGGCATGAAGGAGCCAGGGCCAAACCACAGGTCCTTTGCAGGTCTCAGAGCTGGGAGCCAGTTAGAGCCCATCTTTTAGTGCTGTGATCTTGGGCCCCCCCTCAAAACTTGTCAGTTTCTTCTTCTCTAAAATAACCTAGTAACTTCAACTTGGAAGGAATGTTAGAAAAGTTAAATAACATGTATGTAGGGAAATTCCTAGCTATGCACTCAATACTTAGAAGTTGGGCTAAAAAAGTTCTCTCAGTTTCCACTGAAATGGCATTCCCAGCTAAAACTTACTGTGAAGCTAGCTAGAACTTACTAAAGGCAAAGCCAACCACTGCAGTGAAATGAGTTTAGTGTTTGTGTGGGCCTAATACAGACTGGGGTTGGATGAGGATGAATGCAGTGACAGCTAACAGCTGCCTGTCTTAGGAGTAAGGTTAGCAACTCCAGTCAGCAGCTTATTTTATGATCTTACTTTCACAGATCTGTCTCATCTTTAATAGTAATAGCCAATATTTATGGAGCAATTATTACGTTACATGCCAAGCATTCTGCCAAGTCTTACATATAGTATCTCATTTAATCCACACAACAATCTTGTGAGGTATTACTGATACCTCTCTCTCTCTCTCTCTCTCTCCATACACACACACACACACACACACACACACACATATATATATATAAAGGTTTTACCATGAGGCTGGCCCTATGGCATAGTAGGCTAAGCCTCTGCCTGTAGTGCCTGCATCCCATAGGGTGCCAGTTCGTGTCCCAGCTGCTCTTCTTCTGATCCAGCTCTCTGCTAATGGCCTGGGAAAGCAGTGAAAGATGGCCCATGTGGGAAGACTCAGAAGACCTGACTCCTCACTTCGGATCGGCCCAGCTCCAGCCATTGTAGCCATCTGGGGAGTGAACCAGCAGATGGAAAACCTTTCTCTTTATCTCTCCTTCTCTCTGTAACTCTACATCTCAAACAAATAAATAAAAATCTTTAAAAAAAAAACACACACACAAGAAAATGGATCTAGAAAAGTTGTGTATACATAAATATCAAATTTGAAAAAAAAATTTACCATAGAAGATGTTACTATTTAGACTTTTATAAGGTCCGGTGCTGTGGTGTAGTGGGTAAAGCTGTTGGTATAGTGGGTAAAGCTGTTGGTGTAGTGGGTAAAGCCGTTGCCTGCAGTGCTGGCATCACATGTGGGTGCTGGTTCGAGTCCCTGCTGCTGCACTTCCAATCCAGCTCTCTGCTATGGCCTAGGAAAACAGTGGTAGATGACCTAAGTCCTTGGGCCCCTGCACCTGTGTGGGAGACCTGGAGGAAGCTCCTGGCTTTGGGTCAGCACAGCTCCAGCTGTGGCAGCCATCTGGGGAGTGACCAGCGGATGGAAGACCTCTCTCTCTCTCTGCTCTGCCTCTCTGTAACTCTGAGACTTTCACGTAAATAAATAAAATCTTTTTTAAAAAATAGACTTGTATAAAAGTAGTGAGACTTTTTTAAGGAACTTACCTATGTTCATCTCCCAGCATCAACAATTGTCAGTTCAAGGCCAAACTTATTTCATGTCTATACCATCCATTTCCTCTTGCCTCATTTTGAAGCAAATCTCAGACTTACCATTTTATTAGAAAATATTTCAGTATGAATCAAAATATCAGAAGTAATAACTAAAAACTCTGCGACACCACATCCTAATCAAACTTAAAATCATTTAAAAGCATTCCTTAATAGTATAAAAAACTTATTCAATGTTCAAGTCTCTCCAGTTGTCTCATAACGAATTTTTTTATTAAAAAAATCAGCCCTAGATATTCACACATGATATTTGGTTAATATGCCTTATAAGTCTCCCCTATCCTATGGGTCCCTCTTTCTCTCCCTCTTCCTGGAGGCCTTTCTCTTTTTTCTTTTCATATTGAGTTTCCCCCTCTTTTTATTTGTTTTAGCACATTTGTTGAAGTCATTCAGTCATTTGTCCTGATATTCTTTTTATAAATGAAGAAACAGGCTCAGCGAGGGTAAAGGAATTTGGTAAGGGGTAGAAAAGAAATTCAGTCTCAGCTGTGTCCGACTCCAGAGTCCAAGCACAATGGCTTTATTATATTCTCTTTAAATCAAGTGATGAAAAGCAAGACACAGGAAAAACACAATCACCCATAAAAGATTTCAGAACATGCATGACTCCCCCAAGTAACCAGCTCCTTTACTAAGTACTCACAGAAAACCGCTCACTTAAAGCCCAGGCAGGGTTTGAAATTTGGGAAGAGAAATTGAAAACAGGATAACGCAGTATCCTCCTTATGTTTTGAATCTGACTAAATAATTCCTGCATGCAAATGTATCCATCACATGAAGGGATCTTTATTTCCAACAAATATGTAGCAAGGCAAAAAAATTTCTTAAATCTACCAATTTGATTTTTCTCTCTTCTGCATTTTCCTCCTGTTCTCCCCCTTTCCTCTGTTCTCTATAGCTAGATAAAGAGGAAACATCTCTTTCAAGTAGTTATTTAAAAATACCAGTCAAATTAACAATTTGGTAGTTTGATATGTGGTATCTGGCTTTCGTTACAATAGTTTTGAAACCACAGTTACCCTAGCAACTGAATACATCTTTTTCTTTAAAAATTTTTTTTAGCTGTCTGGAAGAGAGAAAAAAAGAAAAAGAAAACTTCTTGCCAGAATTTTCCCATAATAGCTTCCATTAACTGCAGTGACTTCTATTGGAGAGGCCAGCACTGCTGTCTCCTGCTGTCACCAGTCATTCACTGATCTAGCAGATGTTTTGTTTGATAAGGCCAATTTGAGCTTTATAAAACATTTATTTTTTCACCTCCAAGGAGCAAATACCAGTGAGGATGGGATTCATCGTTGATCACTGGATACCATACAAGGGCCTCAACCTGCCAGTGGAGCTTTTAGGTGAGAAGAAAAACTAAAACAAATCTAAAGGCGACATTTAATAAAAGAAGGGGGAAAAAAGAAAAAAAAGAGGGGGGATGGTTAAAGGGCGTTAG